GGAAGTAATGCAAGTAGAGTTAGCCATACTACCACCCATTATAATAAAGGAGGCTAAAAAGGCATGACAATAAGCCTGTGGAACCCCTGAGACTGTGGCCCCTAGCTGCCCTTCAGGTCTGGAATTGAACTCACTCTTGTGGCTTCCAGCCAAACAAAAAACAGGCATATGAGCTGAACATTTACATTAGGTAGATACACTCCTTGGAGAGATCAATCATGGAAGAATAGAAGGGCTGTGTATGCGTAGGGAGGCAGGAGTGCATGGCAGGGAAGGACACAGGGAATAGGTGGCTATGGAGAGGAAGTAGGAGGAGGGCTGTTGCATTGTGGGAGATTTCAGTCAATGTCATGAGACAAAGTATATATGAACTGCTGTATAGAAGATGAATTTGCTCTGTAAACTTTCACCCAAATCACAGTAAAATTAAAAAAAAAAAAAAAGAGGCCTGACAACAAAATGTTGTTAGTGGGTGCTATCAAGTCGATTCTGACTCATTGCAACTCTATGGGACAGAGTAGAACCGCCGCATAGGACGTCCTAGGGTGTAATCTTTATGGAAGTAGATCACCAGGTCTTTCTGTTGCAGAGCCACTGGATAGGATCAAACACCAACCTTTTAGTTAGCAGCTGAGCACTTGATCACTACCAGGGCTCCTTGGCAACAAAATAGAGAGTGGGAAATGTAAATTTATCCTTTGTCTTCATTGTAAGGGAATTTAACATGGAGTTTTTACATTTTATGGAAGGTCAGTGATTTGGAATTAGTCAAACTACCTGCTTTTCCTCAAGTATACTGGTGTCCCGGTTTCTTATGGCTGCCATAACAGATACCACAAAAGTGGGTTGCTTTAAAGAACAGAAATATATTGTCTCACAGTTCTGGAGGCTAGAAGTCCAAGTAAGTGTCTTGGCTGTGTTGATTCCTCGCGAATGCTTTAAGAGAGCAACATTTCCATGCCACTTTATTAGTTTCCGGTGACTGCTGGCAGTCCTTGGTGTTCCTTTGTTACTTTATAGGTGCATCTGCCTTTGTAGTCACGTAGTACCTGCTTTACTCCTGTATGTCTCCTCCTTTATAAGACACAACTCAAAAAGAATTAGGATTAGGACTCACGCTATTCTGATAGGACCTCATTTAACTGATAACCAAAGGGAAACCTATTTTTAAACAAGATCAGAGATTAGCACTTGAACATACCATTTTGGGGATACAATTCAATATAATGTTTGAAAAACCCACATGCATCTTTCTTACTCAGAATCATATATCATAATATTGATTGTGGAAATTGGATTCCATGATCAAACTAACAAGATTTGTTCAGCAAATACTTACTTATTGCTTATTTTATGTTAAGCAGTGGTAAAGGAGCCAGAAATATACAATGTTCAAAACAAATGCTTCCATCTTGAGCTTATATATTAGTGGAAGGAGACAGACAATAAATTAACAAGTAAATACGTAGAATTTCAGATGGAAATAAGTCCTATGAAAAAAAATTTCAAAAAGGGAAGGGGAAGATGTGGAATGTTTGGGAGGGTGGGGAGCGCTAGCTGTTTCATACAGTGGGGTCAGAGAAATTTTCAAACTGGAGCAGAACTTTTTTTTTTTTTTTAATATTTGTTGTGATTTGGGTGAAAGTTTACAGAGCAAATTCATCTTCCATACAGCAGCTCACATACACTTTGTCTCATGACATTGACTGAAATCTCCCACAATGCAATATTTTCCCTCCCACTTCCTCCCCATAGCCACCTCTTCCCTGTGTCCTTCCCTCCAAGCACTCCTGCCCCCTGAGCTGTCTCCCTGTGCATACACAGCCCTTTTATTCTCCCATGATTGATCTCTCCAAGGAGTGTATCTACCTAATATAAATGTTCAGCTCATATGACTGTTTTTCATTTGGCTGGAAGCCACAGGAGCAGGTTCAATTCCAGACCTGAAGGGCAGCTAGGGCCATAGCCTCAGGGGTTTCACCAGGCTCTATCAGACCAGCAAACTTGGTCCTTTTATTTTCTTTTAATGATTTTGAATTTTGTTCCACATTGTTCTCCTACTCTGTCCAGGATCTCCTACATAGATCCCCCTCTGAGTGGTTGACAGTGGTAGCTGGGCACCATCTAGTTCTTCTGGTCTCATAGTCATATAGGCTGAGGATCACATGGTGTACCAGTCCCTTGGACTAATTGTTTTCCATGCATGTTTGGTTTCCTTCATTCTTTTTTGTTCTGGATGAGGAGAGACCCATCATTGCATCTAGATGGCCGCTTGCAAGCTTTTAAGATCCCAGTCGCTACTCACCAAAGTAGGAGGTGTAACAATATTTTGTTATGCCAATCGAGCTTTATGTCCTCTGTGACCATGGTCCAAGCCCACAGGCCTAAACTCCTCGCTTCCTCTAGGTAGCTGACTGTGGCCAAGAAGTGACTACAGCCTTGTTGAGCAGAACTTTTGAGGAACCAATGAGTCAAATAAAAAATTACAAAGGAAATAAAAAAATAATGCTTTGAGATGATTAAAATGAAAATATAATATCTTTACATCTATGATTCTGAATTGGCCTTTGTTGTTGTTATGTACCATCGAATTGGACCTGACTCAGTGACCCCTCCTTGGGTTTCTGAGGCAGTATCACTACGGAAGTAGATTGCCCCATCTTCCTTCGGAGGAGTGGCTGGTGGGTTTGAACTGCCAGCCTTATGGTTAGCAGTCAAGTGCCTTAGGCACTATGCTACCAGAGAGCTGAATTGGCCTAACACCTGGGAGATTACTAAAAATCCAAAGCCTTGGTCTCTGGTTGCTATTCTAGAACCACTGAATCAGAAAACTTCAGAAGAGAATCTATTCTTAAAAAAACTACCCCTGCAGACAATGAAAAAACTATCCCTGCAGACAATTTTAATAATATGGCAAATTTTGGGGAAAAAAACAAGCAATCAATTTTATATGGATGTACCTATTCTCAGAATAGGAGCTCTGATGGTGTAATGCCTATGCCATTTGAGTGTTAATCAGAAGGTTGGTGGTTCAAACCTAGCAGCCCCTCCTCAGAAGGAAGATTGGGCAATCTACTTCCATAGTGATACTGCCTCAGAATCTCAAGGTGTCACTATTACGCAGATCCAACTTGACGGCAGTGAGTTATTTCCAGAATATTTAAAATCCAGCAAGTAAGGTGGTACTAAAACTATAATGACTGTATTCATCTTGACTGGTTCAGAAAAGGCATTTTATAACCTTGATGAATTCTAAGAGCAGTAATATGAGGGCATTAAGTAGGTTATGAGAAATAAGAGTGTCCCTCAACAAAATATTTTTTAACAGAAATTTCATCTGCTTTTGGTGATTTGGTCATTTCAAGACATTCTGTAGCATTCATATTGTGTTGACTTGTGTTGACTTGCAAGGCAAAACAAAAATAAAACCTGAGAAACATAACAGCAAAGCTTATGAGATTCAGGGGGAAAAAACCCAAATTCACTGCCGTTGAGTCAATTTGACTCATAGCAACCCCTCCTTGGGTTTCCAAGGTGATATCTCTATGGAAGTAGATTGCCCATTCTTCCTTCTGAGGAGTGGTGGTGGGTTTGAACCGCCAGCCTTCTGGTTAGCAATCAAATGCCTTAGGAATTATGCCACCAGAGCTCCCGAGGTGCAGGGAAAGAAGTGCTTATGGGAAATTGCATAGCTGTAAATGCCTATGTTAAAAAGAAGAAAGATCTCAAATTGATAACCTAACTTTATACTTTAAGTAATGAGAAACAGAAAAGCAAGCAAAACCTAAAGCTAGCAGAACAAAACCTAAAGCTAGCAGAAGGAAGGAAAAATAAAGAACAGAGATGAATGAAATAGAGATTAGAAAAACAACAGAAAGAATGAAACCAAAGTTGTGTTTTGAAAAGATCAACAAAATTGACAAACCTTTAGCTAGACTAAGGAAAACAGCAGATGCAAATAAGTAAAGTCACAAATGAAAGTAGGGACATTACTACTGACCTTACAAAAATAAGAAATAATTATAAGAGAATGCTATGAACAATTTTACATGACCAAAATAGATTGATGAAATGTACAGATTCCTAGAAATACACAAATTACAGAAATTGACTCAAGAAGAAATGGAAAATTTGATCATACTTATAACAAGAAAAGAAATTGAATGAGTAATAAAGAAAACCTCCCAAGAAAGAGTTGTTTAGTCTTTACTTCTAGGATTAAATGGGAATCCACAGCAGAACTGCCATCATTCCCTTGTGATAGTTTTTATGTTTATCCTTTGGTTGGCTGAAATTCATCTTTCTTTGAGAAGGGATTTTGATATAAATAAAGTCTTTGATTTTTTACTTGTTCAAGTATTTATATTTATATTGCTTTTATACTTGAATAAGAGTTTGATAATACAGTTCTTTGTTACACCTTTTTTCCCTGGGGATTTTGTAAGCATTCTCTGCTGTCTTCTAGTACTACTTGTTGCTGAGGTGAAGAGTGAAGCCAGCTTAATTTTTTCCACTTTGTAGATGAATAGAACATTTTGCCTGAATGCCAAAAGATTTCTCCTTTATCTTGGATTTTCATTAGGCTATGTCATTATATTTATTCTCTATCAGTTCATTCTGAAACATGATAGGACTTTAATTCCAGGTCCACAAGTTTTATAAAGATTTTTTAAAAGCCATGTTCCTAAATTTATTTGTTTGCTTTTTATTTTAAAAAATAACTTGGAAATGGTTTTAAAAAATAATTTGGGAATAACTTGGAATATGTATTTTTTAAAATTGTTCATTTTCTATTTAAAGAACTGAAAACTGATTATTCTGTAACTAGCTAACAAGTTAATGGGAAAATTATTATTTTATCCTATTGTGGATAAAGTATGAAGTAAGTAGTTTCATACTAATTTTGTATAAACCTGGCCAAATAACTTTGTGGTTTCTTTTTTGTTTTGTATTTTCACTTCTAAATTGCTGTTTTTCTTTTTTCTTTTTTGTATTTTTAGGTAGAATCCAAACAGTGTATCAGCTGAGTCATGATATTGATGCTGGTCGTTTCCAAACATTAATGGAATGTTTTGCGAGCACTTTTGAGGATGTGAAAATTTTAGCATTTGATCTTCTTATGAAATTAACAAAAACGATTGTACAATTTCAGGTATTTGGACTTCTTCTATGTAAATGTAAATGTGGTATATGTGCATGACAACTTTCTATTTTAACAGCAGGTAAAGCCTTCTGTGCATTATCCAGATTCCTTGTATCTGCCCTGTCACTTCTGTCAACTATTTGAGTTATCATTGTGTGGGCTATTGTTGTGGATTGATAGGAGGGAGGAGTGGAGGAGAAAGAGAAAATATGGGAAATAAAAATAACATCCAAATCAGTGAGCTTTGCTTTCTTAATGCTCTGCTGTAAAGGAGGTGTAGGCGGCAGTAGGTTTTATCGTTTACAGGATTACTCGTAGATTTCCGCTAACTGCAGGTCTCCCAGTTCCTTTGGACATTTAGTATTTGATCAAAAGACATCACTTACAGTAATTTGAGGTTTTTGAAATAATCTCCCCCCTTAGTAGACTAGGAAGCTGAATGTAAGTGAAATATAAAGCATGTTTCTGGTCTTCCAACAAGCAATAGCTAAATTGAGACTGAAACTCAGAGTACTTGAGGTTAGCAACAGTTCTCTCCCTAGGTTCTCTGTTCCATCTCCTGCCCCCGCATTCCTGTTCTGACATCTTGTTCTTCTGCTCTGACCTTAGGGTGGGAACCATAGATGGGCTTAGGCAGTGAAGGCGCAATGTGGGGATGGGTCTACAGGACCTCATATCCCGAGTGCTCAGTTCTGCTATGGGGCTACCAGCAGAGTATTGGTTCTCCAGCTTCACTGTTGCTTTTTGTTTCTAGCTCATTAGAGGCAAAGGATAACTGCAGGGGTTGCAACTGAGCCATAGTCTGGGACCTGCCTGTTTGGCTCTATTTACTACCATGTCAAGTTTCACATGTAGTGTGATTCTACAGAAGTACACATTGAAGAGCAGGGAATGTGCTTTTTTCTGGTTTCCAGGTAGCTACATCACACAGCAGCTATTCTGGCTTAGGTCCAGATTGGAAGTTGCTCCCCTGCAACCACCTATCACTGGATCTTTCAGTTACCCTGGTGAGCAGATGGTTCTCTGGTGCCAAGGCTGCTGAATTTGTACAAAATAGATTTTTTTTTTCAGAAGAGACTTTCTCTTCTCTCTTTTTCTTCCCCTTACCATTTTTCTAACTGTAGCCTGGTATCATATAATTAAGCCTCATTCCTGGCAAATATTTTGTGAGTATCTAGAATGGGAAATGTATATTATAGCATGTATATGGGAGATTTGGTACTTATATGAACTATGAAGGGCCCTTAGGGGTCTCTGCCTCTCTCGTTTGATAAACATGTATGTAAACACTTTACTGCAGATTTCAGGAAATTTAGTACCTCATATGACATACTATGGAGTCCCTGGGTGGTATAAATCATTGACCACTTGGCTGTGAACTGAATGATTGGCAGGCACCTTGGAAGAAAGACCTGGTAATCTACTAGCAAATCACAGGTTTTGAAAATCTTTTGGAGCATAGTTCTACTCTGACACATCTGGATAACCATGAGTCAGAATCAACTTGATGGCAATTTATAAGGAATTTTAAAATATAATGAAGTAATTTATAAGGAATTTGAAAACATAATGATGTTCAAGACATTTTTAAATATCAGCCTAATCTCTTCAAGGACCTATATATATACATAGAATTAGATTTTTGTTGGTGTATCTTTCTAATATATGACTTTAGTACTCAGCTAGTTTGCTGCTGTTCTCTCTTATGAAACTACATATTATGGGTCTTTGTATATTGCAGTTAGGTTCATTTGAGATGAAGGCACAATGACCTTTAGACATCACATGCTATTTATTATGTTTCTTTCTAATTGACTAGTAAAGCAATTCAGAGACTGAATATGTTATAAAAATTACATATGCTTTAGGCCACTGTTTTTATATTTTTTACATCAAACAGCAAAGAATTAAAATGATTTGGAACAGTATATTTTTGTTAGGTGCTGTTGAGTCATCTCCAACTTATAGGGACCTCATGTACAACAGAATGAAACACTGCTTGGTCATGTGCCAGGCTCACAATCCCTGCTATACCTGAGCCTGTCATTTTAGCCACTGTGTCAGTCCATCTTGTTGTGGGCCTTCCGCTTTATTGTTGACCCTCCATTTCACCAAACATGTTATCTTTCTCCAGAGAACTGTTCCTTCTGATAACATGACTAAAGTAGGTGAGATGAAGTCTGGCCATTCTTGCTTCCAAGAAGCATTCTGGCTGCACTTCTTCCAGGACAGATCTGTTAGTTCTTTTAGCAGTCCATGGTACTTTTCAGTATTCTTCACCAGTACCACAACTCAAAAGCATCAAATCTTCTTTGATTTTCCTTATTCATTCTTCAGTTGTCACATGTATGTGAAGTCATTGAAAATACTATGGCTTGGGTTAAGCACGCTTTAGTCTTCGAGGAGACATCTTTGCTTTTCAGCACTTTGAAGAGGCCTTTTGCCACAGATTTGCTCAATACAGTATATCTTTTGATGTCTTGGCTGATGTTTCCGTTGGTGTTGATTGTAGAGCCAAGTAATATGAAGTCTTTGACAACTTCAGTCTTTTCTCCATTTATCGTGATGCTGCTTATTGGTCCATTTGTGAGTATTTTTGTTTTCTTTATACTGAAGTGTAATCCATACTGCAGACTGTAGTCTTCAGTCTTCATCAGTAAGTGCTTCAAGACATCCTCACTTTCAGCAAGCAAATTTGTGTCATCTGCATATTGCAGGTGGTTATTGGGTCTTCCTCTAATCCTGATGTCACATTCTTCTTCATATACTCCATCTTCTCGGATTATTTGCTCAGCATACAGACTGAATAAGTCTGGTGGAAAGATACAATCCTGACACACTCTCTTCTTGATTTTAAACCATACAGTGTCCCCTTGTTCTGTTTGAATGAAAGCCTCCTGGTCTATGTACAGGTTCCTCATGAACACAATTAAGTGTTCTAGAATTCCCATTCTTCTCAGTGTTATCCATAATTTGTTATGATCTACACAATTGAATGCTTTTGCCTACTCAATAAAACACAAGTAAACATCATTTTGGTATTCTTTGCTTTCACCCAAGATCCATCTGACATTAGCTATGATATCGCTCATGCCATGTCCTCTTCTGAATCCAATTTGCATTTCTGGAAGTTCTCTGTCAATATACTCCTGCAACTGTTTTGAATTATTTTCAGTAAGATTTTACTTGCGTGTGATGTTAATGATATTGTTTGATAAAAAAAGGTGGGTCACCTTTCTTTGGAATAGGTACAAATATGAATCTCTTCCAGTCAGTTGGCCAGGTAACTGTCTTCCAAATCTCTTGGCATAGCTAAGTGAGTGCCTCTAATGTGGCATCCATTTGTTAAAATATGTCTGTGGGTATTCTGTCAGTTTTCTGGAGCCTTGTTTTTCACTAATTCTTCAGTGCAACTTTGACTTCTTCCTTCAGTACCATTGGTTCTTGATCATATGCCACATCCTGAAATGGATGAACATTAACCAAGTCTTTTTGGTCTTCTTTGGATGTTTCCTGCATTATTGAATATATTGCCCCTAGAAGCTTTCATTATTGCAACTTGAAGCTTAATTTTTTTCTTCAGTTCTTTCAGCTTGAGAAATGCCAATTGTGTTCTTCTCCTTTGGTTTTCTAACTCCAGGTCTTTGCACATTTCATTATAATAATTGACTTTGTCTTCTCAAGCTGCTGTTTGAAATCTTCTGTTCAGCTCTTTTATCTTGTCATTTCTTCCATTGGCTATAGGTACTCTCTGCTCAAGGGCAAGTTTCAGAGTCTCTTTTGACAGCCATTTTGGTCTTATCTTCCTTTCCTGTCTTTTTAATGACCCTTTGCTTTCTTCATGGATAATGTTCTTGATGTCATTCCACAATTCCTCTGGTTTTCAGTCATTGATGTTCAGTGCATCAAATCTATTCTTTACATCAACTCTAAATTCAGGTGAGATATAATCAAGGTCATATTTTGCCTCTCACGGACTTGTTTTGTCTTCAGCTTCAACCTGAACTTGCATAAGAGCAATTGATGGTCTGTTCCACAATCAGCTCCTGGCCTTGTTTTGGCTGAGGATATTGTTGCTCCATTGTTTCTTGTCACAGATGTAGTCAATCAGATTCCTGTGTACTCTGTCTGGTAAAGTCCATGTGTATAGTCACTGTTTATGTTGTTTAAAAAAGGTGAGTACGTCATTGGTCTTGCAGAATTCTATCATGCGATCTCCAGAGTCATTTTTGTCACCAAGGCCATATTTTCCAACTACTGGTGATTCTTCTTTATTTCCAGCTTTTGCATTCTAATCATCATTGATAATTAACATATCTTGAATGCGTGTTAAGTCAATTTCAGACTGTAGAAGTTGGTAAAAATCTTCAATTTCATCATCTTTGGCTTTGGTGGTTGGTGCATAAATATGAATAGTGATAGTATTAACAGGTCTTCCTTGTAGGTGTATGTATATTATCCTATCACTTACAGCATTGTACTTCAGGATAGATCTTGATGTATTCTTTGTGATGATGAATGCCACGCCATTCCTCTTCAAGGTGTCATTCCTGGCACAGTGGATCATATGATTGCCTGATTCAAAAGGGCCACAGCCAGTCCATTTTAGCTCACTAACGCCTAGGATATCGATCTTTGTGCGTTCCATTTCATTTTTGACATCTGCCAATTTTCCTAGATTCATACTTCATACATTCCATGTTCTGATTATTAATGGGTATTTGCAGCTGTTTCTTCTCATCTTGAGATGTGCCACATCAGCAAATGGAGGTCCCTAAAGCTCTACTCTATCCACATCATTGAGGTTGGCTCTACTCTGAGGAGGCAGTTCTTCCCCAATCATACTCTGACTGCCCTCTGACCTGAGGGGCTCATCCTCCGGCACTGTATCGGACAGTGTTTCAGGGATATTCATACAGTTTTCCAGTAATATCTCAGACCATGTTTCACTGCTATTCATGAGGTTTTCATTGACCAATTCTTTGAGAAGTGGATGGCCCCTTCCTTCTTCTGAGTCTGTCTTAGTCTGGAAGCTCCACTGAAACCTGTCCACAATGAGTAACCCTGCTGGCATTTGAAACACTGGTGGCATAACCTCCAGCCTCACAGCAACATGCAAGCCACCATAGTACGACAAACTGACAGACAAGTTTGTCTCCCTTAGCTGTTCCAAACTGTTCCACTCACTTCCTCCCCCAGGCATTCCAATAGCTTACTTCCTAGTCTGCCCCAGGCACTCTAACACCCACCTGCCATGCCCGGCTTGCTTACCTGGCCTTTCTCGGTGTTTCAACACTTGCCTTCTGCTCCTGGCAACCATTTATATATTTCGGTATATTTTGTCTTCTTTTTAAAATATTATATAAGTCATTATTAAGTATTGTTGTATCTATAATAAACTTCAAATTTAAGTTTATAATGATTTTTACCCTTATATTATACAGTTGTGGATTAATCCTAGTAGACTCAGCATATTCTTGAGCACCCAACCCTGAGTTCCAGGTTCCATGCAACTTGTCAATCAAAGACTTTGGACTAGGACCCACATCTCCTGTTCTCAGCCTAGTGTCTTTCCATGAATGTCAGAGAGAACTGTCCTTCATTCTGTTTGCTTTAAAACAGGCTATGTGAGTGGATGTTTTTATGAGCTATAGTTGTAGGAGCTGTGATGAGGATTTCTGAAACTGATTTTATCATTTTGTTTTTGACATCATAAACATGGAGCTTTACCAGGAGCAGCATCCCTCTGGATTTATATTTTTCCCATTTAACTAGCTGTATTGTTGTTGTTGTTGTTATGTGCCATGGAGTTGGATCCATCTCATAGCGACCCCTCCTTGGGTTTCTGAGGCAGTATCACTATGGAAGTAGATTGCCCAACCTTCCTTCTGAGGAGTGGCTGGTGGGTTTGAATTGCCAGCTTTCTGGTTAGCAGTCAAGTGCCTTAGGCACTATGCTAGAGAAATTTGGAAGACAGCTACCTGGCTAACTGACTGGAAGAGATCCATATTTGTATCCATTCCAAAGAAAGGTGATCTCACAGAATGTGGAAATTATCAAACAATATCATTAGTATCACACGCAAATAAAATCTTGCTGAAGATAATTCAAAAATGGCTGCAGCAATATATTGACAGGGAATTTCCAGAAATGCAAGCTGGAATCAGAAGAGGACTTCGAATGAGGAATATCATAGCTTATGTCAGATGGATCTTGGCTGAAAGCAAAGACTACCAGAAAGGTGTTTACTTGCATTTTACTGACTATGCTAAAGCATTCAATTGTGTGGATCATAACAAATTATGGATAGCATTGAGAAGAATGGGAATTCCAGATAACTGTGCTCCTGAAGAAGCTGTACGTAGAACCAAGAGGCTGTCATGTGAACATAACAAGGGGACACTACATGGTTTAAAATCAGGAAGAGAGTGCATCAGAGTTGTATCCTTTTACCATACTGATTCTATCTGTACACTGAGGAAACCAGACTATGTGAAGAAGAATGTGGCATCGGAATTGGAGGAAGTCCCATTAATAACCTGTGATATGTGATATGCAGGTGACACAACCTTACTTGCTGAAAGTGAAGATGGATCGAAACACTTATTGATGAAGATTAAAGACTGCAGTATGGGTTATTCCTCAACATAAAGAAAAGAAAAATTCTCGCAACTGGACCAATGGGCAGCATCACAATAAATGGAGAAAAGTTTGAAGTTGTTAAAGATTTACTTGGTTCTACAATCAGCACCAATGAATGCAGCTGTCAAGAAATCAGATGACATATTGCCCTGGGCAAATCTGCTGCAGAAGACCACTTTAAAATGCTGAAGAACAAAGATGTCTCTTTGAAGACTAAGGTGTGTCTAACCCAAGCCATGGTGTTTTCAGTCGCCTCATATGTAAGTGAAAGCTGGAGAATGAATAAGAAATGCTGAAGAAGAGTTGATGCTTTTGAGTTGTGGTATTGGTGAAGGATACTGAAAGTACCATGGACTGAAATCTGCCCTGGAAGAAATGCAGCTGGAACGCTCCTTAGAACAAGAATGGCCGGATTTCGTCTCACCTACTTTGGTCATGTTGTCAGAAGGGACCATTCCCTGGAGAAGGATATCATGCTTGGAAAAGTGGAGGGTCAGTGAAAAAGGGGAAGGCCCTTGATGAGATGGATTGACACAGTGCCTCCAACGATGGACTCAGGTTTAGCAAGAATTGTGAGACTGGTACAGGACGGGGCAGTGTTTTGTTTTGTTGTACATAGGGTCGCTATGAGTTGGAACCAACTTGATGGCACCTAACAGCAACAACAACATAGGAAGAGGCAAGAACAGGAGTGTGAGGGCTACGTAATACATAAACTTTGATAGAAGAAATTCTATACAAATATAGAAAAAATACACTTTTGCTGAAGAAAAGATTTTTTTTTTTACAAAACAAGGTTCAGCCATGTTGAATTTCTTAATTAAAATTATTTTTAAGATCTTCATCACTAGAACTGATTAAGAATAGTTATTAATTACTCTAATAAAAGCTCTGAGTTAATGTTAATGTTGGGTTATGTGGCAGATTCTGTTCTTAAATATGTATTGTTCCTTCAAATTGAAGAACTGTTTCAGTGACAGTACTGAGAGTGTGCTTTATTCTAGGATTCAGAGAAACTGCAAGGCTTATTCCAGGCAGCTTTGGAGCTCAGTACCAGCACCAAACCACATGACTGTGTAACGGCTTCCTACCTGCTGAACTTCTTAATCTGGCAGGATGCTCTGCCACCATCCCTGTCTGCCTACTTACAGACTCAGCAAGTTACATGTGGAGATGGAGATAAGTCTGCTTCTGTGGTAGAAAGGAACACATTAATGGGTTTGTATTGAATGCATGACCTTTTGCTTTTATTTATCAAAAGCATACATCTTACTCTCTCATTATTCATTTGGTTCTAGTTTCTAATGGTTAAACATTTACTTTGTGGTTTTTTATTTAATAGTTTACCAGCATAGAAGACTATCGTAGTTTCTCTTAAGCAACTGGATAGTTTACTCAACTATAAATTTTCTGTAACTTTTGTTTTTGAACAGGGGATTCCTATTAAATTCACAGGTATACAAATGTACATTAATACAATTCTTTTTAAAGAAAATTTCTTTCTCTGACAAAAGTATCCTTTTTTGGGGGGCGGGGGCAGACATTTTACTATGCTTTTAGTCAGTCATCTATATTATTTCTACATAGAACAGAGTTCCTTTGTCTTTTGGGGTTTATGCATTAACTGACTGTCATGCCCCTGCCTTTCACCCTTCTCATACAACCAGTTTCAAAACTTTGGGTCAGAGATGGTTTAGATCTAATGATTTTTGACAAATATTTTTGGAGATTCTTATACCGTAAATAAAGACAGATGTGGATTTTTATAGAGGAAAAGAGGTCAGTTACAGAAAGAGAGTTGAAAATTATTCTCTACATGGTGGTTTAGAAGCCCTGAAAAAGAGAACCAATGATATGTAGGCCCTAGATAAGTTGATAGGGAGTGGTCTGTAATTAGGGTGAACCAAGATTTGTGCTGATGTAAAGCATTAAAATTCAGAACATTTTAAAACTTTAAAAATTTTATAATCTATTTCAAACATACAAATGAATATTTAAATGTATATAAGGTTTAAATAATAATAATAGCAAATTTTTACAAGTTTTGTTTATAAGTCAAGTTGTTCCCACCTAGCTTAAGGGTAAAACAGCACCATATCCATCTTCCAAGAGAATTACTACCTTACGTATTAATACTTCATGTTGTTTTCCTTTATAGTTTTACCACATGTGTATATATCATTAAACAATATTTTATTTAAGTTTTGTATGATTTTGAGTTTTATATTAATGGCATTTTACTTAAGGAGCCCTGGTGGCACAGTAGTTAAGTACTCAGCTACTAACTGAAAATTGGTGGTTCAAACTCTCGACAGGAGAAAGATGCAGTCTGCTTCTGTGAAGATTAGTCTTGAAAACCCTGTAGTTCTACTCTGTCCTGTAGGGGGTTGTTATGAGTAGGAATCTACTAGATAGGCACTGGATTTGATTTTGGTTTGGCGTTGTATTCTATGTATTATTACATGGCAGTTTATTAATCCATTCTCCTTTGCTGGACTTTTTCCCCCCTAAAATGACTAAGACTAATATTACTGTTCTTGTACTTATCTTCCAGTACACAAATATGAGAGTTCATTTGTAGTTAACATAAAAGTGGAATGGCCTAGTTGTATAGTAGGTGCCCATTCACTTTAGTAGATAATGGCAGGTAAGTTTCCAGCCCTAGTCTGAGACCTGCCTGTTTGGCTCTATTTAGTACCATGTCAAGTTTTAGATGCAGTAGGATTCTGCAGGAACACACATTGAAGAGCAGGGAATGTGCTCTTCTCTGGTTTCTAGGTAGTTACATCTCACAACATCTCTCCTGACTTAGGTCCAGATGGGGAGTTGCTCCCCTGCATCCACCTATCACTGTGATCTTTCAGGTACCCTGGTGAGCAGATGGTTCTCTGGTGCCAAGGCTGCTACACTCCCACCAACTAATTATAGCATCTGTGTTGTATCACATCGTCACTGTAATTTGTTATTGTTAGATTTAAAAAAATTTGCCAATGGCAAAATATCAAATTGGCTTCATCTTGTACTTTTCTGATTACTAACCGGAGGGAGCATCTTACTATGTGTTCATAAGCTGCTCATTTTCCTTCTCTGAAATGTCTGTTCATTTGTTCATTTTTATATCATTCTGTTTGTCTTTTTCTTACTGATTTTTAGGAGTTCTTTATATATTCTGAATATTTATTTATTTATTGCATACAATCCTGAAATTTAAAACACAACCCTTCCTTCCAGAAAAAAGGAAACAAAAAAACATCTTCTGGTCTACCCAGACATGCTGCATAGATCTGGAGTTTGAGACTCCAGGTAGAGGATGACTAGAAGGAATGATTGGTCCATAGAGTGAGTGCTGTAAATAGATCCAGTGAGTTAGAGAAAGACACTCAGGTTTACCTTTTATGACTCTGGACCTTATTTAGGAATGGTTAACAGGCTGGATAACCTTGACAAACCTCTTTTTGATCCCAAACCTCTAGTTCAAAGAATTAGGTGTTTTTGTGGGAACTGTTTTGCCATTCACACATTTAAAAATGTTTTTCAATTGGCATTACTTTGACTTCCTGTTTGCTCTTTCTAGTTATCAAATGCTTGTTGGAAAATCTTGAGGAAGAAATATCTCAGGCTGAAAATTCTCTGCTTCAGGCAGCAGCATCATTTCCAATGTATGGGCGAGTCCACTGTGTAACAGGAGCTTTGCAGAAGTTACCTTTAAAGTAAGTATGTCCACACATGACTCTTTAACACTCAGCTCTGAGCTTTCACTTCTTATTAGATTATGTTCTGGGAAGGTGATGGAGTTCATTGCCTTAAAGATAATGGAAAAGTAGATTTGAGAATGTACATATATTTGAACATATGCTCTTTCAGATTTATGAAATGTTTCATAAATTACAAAACTTTAAAACAAAAATTTTCTCATTCTTTTTATCTCTTTAATTTCTACTCAGTTTTTTTTTTTTTTTTTGCTATTAATGTAAATTTCCCTCCCATTTTCATTGCAGTAGCCTGCAGTTGGTGAGTGAGTGGAGGCCTGTGGTGGAGAAGCTCCTTTTGTTGTCCTACAGGCTGTCTGCTGTGGCATCTCCAGTCATTCAGAGCTCTTCCCCTGAGGGCCTCATCCCCATGGACACTGACTCAGGTTAGCAAATAAGTAGCTATAGAGTGACATGGTTTGATGATTATATTTTTCTCCCTGCCCCTCCCCTTTTAAAAAAATTCCTTTGGAGATACAAAAAACTAAATTGGGAGTGGGGAGGATGTGGAGTGGGGAAGGAATGATTAGTACAGCGAAACATGAGAGCCAGAACTCACCAGGACTGCTTTGTTTTTCTGGGTCTCACAAATTTTCCACCTTTGACAGTGTGTAATCTTACCACTTTTTTATTGCTTGCTTAGTGGAAAATATTTGAGTTTTCCTTCTTTGACAGGTTTCTGCCTTACATAGTTTCAGGCTTTTTGTAGTAGTAGTGTTATTTCTGCCTTGTTAGTAATATTTGATAAGTATTAAAAAGTAACTAGATGATGAGCAAGGTACCCTCTCCCCTAGGTTAAGTTATATTAATTTTTAAAAAAATTTTTAATTGTGCTTTGTGTGCAAATTTACAAAGCAGGTTTGTTTTACATTCAACAGTTTATGCACATTTGGTCTCACGGCCCGATTCCATCCCCAACCATAAAAAATTCTCCTTTCCTTTCCTCCCTGGGCCCTTCTTATCTGTGCATTCCTGTCTGTCCAGCTTTCCCTCTATGTGGTTAAGTTAGATTTTATAGTACTGTTATTTCAGGACACAACCTATGTGGATGCTGGGACTGGGATACTGGACAAAATAAATTAGAGAGATAAGAAGTTTAGTCAGAGCAGGCGACTTGTTAGGAATCTGAAATGGACAGAGCCCATTTAACATACAAAGACCAGTTAATGGAAAAAAATTAGGAGGAGATACTCAACATTCCAAAATTGAACGCATGTACTTTCCTCTGCCTCTTTTTTGCTCAACCCTTGCTTCTTTGTGCATGGTGCCACCAAAGATCTAAATATGCAAGTCACCAGTCTAGTGCTGTTTGACATCTTTCCTTTACTCCTAATATCCAGCCTGCCTCCATGTTCTTTCTGTGTTGACCTTTAATTATCTCTTAGATCTTTTTTGTTTTTTAATCTGCATCTTTTCGTCCATCTGGTTTCCCAGCATCTACTATTTGTATTTCTTTCCATTTCCTTCTTGCTGCATCCAAAGTAATCTTTCCTAATTATATAATTGATCATATTACCTATAATCTTTACTTAACCTCTGTACCCTAGCCACTACTTCCTACAATCTTGTTTTAAATATGTCAGTGACCTCTGACCAGGTGCTCTGATAGTTTGGTTCTTGCTGCCTCTCCAATCTCAAGTACGCTCCCCTTCCCATTGGAACTTTCCTTCCCATGAGCTTTTCTTCATGGAATCAAAATTTTATAGGGATCTGGCTTATATTTTTCTCCTTTGTGCTTAGCATAATGCCTGGTAGAAGTAGGTACACAATAAATATTTGTTGATAATGAATAATTAGTGAAGGAAAAATTCTTGTAAGGTTAGGAACTAAACTGAGTGCTTGAATGCCCTAGGTGGCATATTCCCATATTACAACTGGCCAGAAGGCATTGACTTGGAGAGGGGTATGCTAACATGGGATTGTTCTTTACACACAGAAAATCATGAAATAAATTTACATTTGGTGTAGAAATAAAGTTTGCAAATGCATTTTGGGGTACAGTGAGAGGTATGTGTTAAAAACACATTGACTATATCATAAGTACATACCATACCATACACTGCAATGCCTTGTGTTAATTTGGCGATAAAGTAACCTGGAGAGATCTGTTTTATGTACAAAATGATAGGTTTTTCACTTTTACTAGAAATGACTCATAAGATTACTGATGGTTCTTAAAACTATGACTAAAGTGTTTTTGTTATTTATTTATTTTTAGTTTTTGGTTAGTGTTGGTCTGACCACCAAAATTTGATGCTTAACAGTTCATGGAAATAATGTCCAATCTTATAGCTAAAATTTGGGTCATATATTCTGGATGAGAAATATTGAGTATTTCTATTACTTCTTGTGGGTAAGACCTGCAAAGTATGCTAAAACTCTGTTTGTTAATAAAGAGTTTTAAAATATCCACTGGTCTTAAAAGTTGTCTTTGGCTCAGAGACTTTTCCTTAATTCTGCTTTCTTGTTTCTCTTCTCCTTGTCTCCATTTTTCCTTGCTACTCCTTCCCCATGTTACCTGCCATGTACTCTGAATTCCTTGCAGAAAGTCTCCCAGAAAACCATAAAAATCAGTGGATAGAGTTCTTAAAATTTTATTCTGATTCTTCTTCTTATTTCATGGTCTTCCCATGGTTTCTTCTTGGGCCAGTGTTACTTTTTCATGGCAGTTTTTTGCCAGTTTCTTTTTGGCAAAATTTTAAGGAGGCAGGAAATGAACATAAGATGTTGGTTGAATCATCATGATAGCAATTTGGGTGTTTGTATTTCCCATGGTACCTACAGTATAAGTATATGTAGTAGATACACAGTATGTATCTGTTGTTTGATTTGTTAATTGGTTGCAGATGATTACTTGTTGCTTTTTTTAAGACATCGAGCCTGGCCTCCTGCTGTTATCTTGCTGTCCATTCATTCATTCTGAACCTCTGCCATGAACCAGTTTCTGTTCTAGGCACTGGCAGTTGAACAGTGAGCAAACAAAGTCTCGCATTCATGGAGCTTATACTTCCTAACCCAGTGAGTGCTTAGGAAATAAAAATGAAGTTTTATATAATACCAAGAGTATAAAACACACTTAGAAAGCAGTATATTATACAATGCATTTCAAAGCCAAATATGGAGGTCTTTTTAGTATTCCTCAGCTATAAAAGGTTGCTTTTATATTGGTCTTTTGTTTTTTGTTGTTGTCATTTTACTTTTTACTTTTAAACCTTGATAACATATATGGAGAGATAGTCTCTTAAAATTTATTGACATTTATTGCTCTTCTTCTACATGATTCCACTGTGTTTGAGATTCTTTGGCAACACTAAGAAAAGTAAAGTAAATGAAAATGGGTCTTTGTCCTGCAGACAGGTACAGTTGTATCTTTTTGGTTACTTCTTCAATGGAAATTACCTTATTTTAAAATGATACCAAACCTTTATGAAAACTTTATATAAATTATTTTTACTTCTTTATAAAAACAGAGTTGATTGTCAAGCATTGAAAAGTGGAAATGTTTGAGGGCAAGCCCCCAAGGAGTTAGGTGAAATCGGGATTTGACATGTGTTCATTTCTTTCCCTCAGAGTCAGCAAGCCGCTTACAGATGATTTTGAATGAGATTCAGCCTAGAGATACTAATGATTACTTCAGTCAAGCCAAAATACTGAAAGAACATGATAGCTTTGATTTGGAGGACTTAAGTGCTAATATGCCAAATACCAGTACTTCTACAGAAATCAAAAGTAAGATATATAAAATTGATATTGTAATCAGTGTTGAAGTGAAATGTAAAATGTACAAAATGCTCGTTTTATAGAATGTATCAGAGGCTGCAAATCTGAGAAGAACATTTCTTGAAAGTAAAGTTTTCTTTGAGCTTTTAAATGGTTTATTTTGGAGAATGAGTTTATAAGATTTTTGCCAGAAAAAAGTTCATAAGTTTATAAGTCAGTGCAGCTCATAAGGTGTTGTGACAGACAGCAATTGAATGCCCACCTCGACAGCCCAGGTGATGCAAGAACAGCAACGTTGGGCTTGGCAATGATCAGCTTCTTCCTTCAGCATAGTTCTTTTTTGTCTGCTATGGAAGTCCTTAAAATCAAGAACTTTTAAAGGAAACAAACCTCATTACTCAGTAAAATGTGACTGTCAATTGTAGCAAGCCTCCAAAATTTGAGTTCTTATGGCTTGTTTCAATGTTAGTTGTTACTATATAATTTTCCATTATGCTATAAAAATCCATCAGAAGCTTAGTTATTTAGTTCATATTCTGCTACATTCTCCACTAGATGGGGATATTGCCTTGTGAATTTTTTTTCTTTTAATTAAAAATAACATAAATATATGCTCATTGTAATAGTTGTAAACAATGCAGAGGTAAATCTAAATTAAAAGCAAAATCCTCCTTCATATGCTTTCTGTTTAGTTTCTTCCCACCTTAATGTATATCCTTTTAGACCTATTCTATGTATTTATGTGAATGCACATTTATTATTTTAGTTTAGTGAGCTTCTTTTTTAAACATAAATAGGATTATACTATACCATTATTTTGTTAACTTGCCTTTTTAATTTAATAGTATGTCTTGGATATCTTTTTAAGTCAGTACTAAAATATTCTTAAAACTGGAATAAGAGAGTGAGGACAAATAACTAATTGACCGTGGGATTTAAATGTGTTTTGAAAGAGAACTTTTATTTACTTTTGATTTAAAAAGCCCTGTCCTATCCCTCTACTGATAGAACAGCTGTTGTTGTTGTTGTTATGTGCCCTTGAGTCAGACCCGACTCATAGCGACCCCTCTTGGGTTTCTGAGGCAGTATCACTACGGAAGTAGATTGTCCCACCTTCCTTCTGAGGAGTGGCTGGTGGGTCAAAATAGACAGTGAAGTATAATTATAGTCATGTTTTATGAATGACAGACAGACTGAGCTTATTTTGTTACGTAATTAAACTTAAACATTAGGCTTAAGTTTTGAAACAAGGTTGTGTTTTATTTTAAAATTTATTTTGAGAACAATGTATTAACATATACATAGCATTACTTAAAGTAATGTAAAATACTTAGTATGATTTCTCCTCATAGCACATACTCAACAAATATTAGTTGTTTTCTCCTGAATAAATACAACATATGACAAATTGGTTTGCTAAAGCAGATTATTTTTGAGGAAATTATGAATAAGCTTGTTCTAAGAAACCTGGGGTATGAGTAATCAGGAGTGTCTAGTGTTGCAATAGATTTTCTTTTCTTTCTTTTTTTAAGGTAAAGATGGAAAAACATGTGATGTAACTGCTCAGATGGTGCTGGTGTGTTGTTGGAGAAGCATGAAGGAAGTTGCTTTGCTTTTAGGCTCGTTGTGTCAGCTCCTCCCCATGCGGTCTGTGCCAGGGTCGTCTGATGGATTACTGACAGTGGAGCAGGTCAGTAGATGTTTATTTCACCTGGTGTAATTTCTAGTCACAGCATAAATCACAAACTTTTATTTATAATCCAACTTAAAAAGAAAAAAGAAAGAGATGTTTTGAATTTTTCTTAAAATCAATATAGACATCAATTGAAAAAAAAAGTTACGATAGTTTAGGAATGTAGACCTTGCAATACATTTTAAAACCATGGTATTTTTAGAAATATTTTCATTTTTTTGACTAAAGTATATAAATAAAGGTAGATTTTACCTTACTTGTAGCTTCAATATCATTTTAATTTTTGTTTCTCTTTAAACATATGGAAATTAAAATCTTAACCGAAATTGTCTATTTAGTAAAACACCACAAACCTCTTAAATTTTCAAAGAAAAAAAGTATGGTTTTGAATCTCATGTTTCCCACTACATCGATGATAAAGTTGTAGTCACTTAGGTTTTTTTGGCTGACTTTTATTTTAAGACCACAAAGTTAGTTCATCATCTGGGATTGTTCAAGTGACTTGACTGCATGTTTACAAGAAATTAGCTTACCACAAGCATTTCATTTGGAAATATTTTAGATTTATTAGATTTCTGTTTTTAATTGATTCCCTCTTCCTTTCCATATGGTTTCAACAAATCCGTTTCCCACCATTTTCCAGCAAAGATCTATACTATGTACTTTCATTTTAACCTTTTTCAAATAAAGATATTTTTTTCCCCAAGGGTGTTACAACATTCAAGAACAAAATAAATATTTATAGTATGCTGATGCTGATTATTTCTGTAATAACCATGTGACTAATACCATGGAAATAATGCTAATATTTTTATTCTCACACTCTGTGCGCTTGGGCTTACATCTGGTTAACAGCTGGGCTTATAATGTTGCAAGTCCCTGAGATGGAGAAAGACAAAGGGGAACAGTACACTGCTGGCATCATCATGTTCCTTGTTCTCTTCCAAATCAAATAGGCATTAGTGTCCTAGTGTTGCTTGCAGTCATTGCTGGTGACTGGCTACGGTGCCAGTGCCAACATCTTTGCTGAGAAATCCAGCTATGATTAATGATTACTTCACCGATGTTCACCATCTCACTAAGGAGTAAACATGTGCTAACTCAAGTCCCTTGACTTCTCAGCTTTTCTTTCCAAGGACAAATTAAAGCATCAATTTTTTTCTTTTTGTTTGTTGGATAGTGCTTAAAAAAAAATTAAGACAAACATATTTAATTTTTACTGTAACTGAAAAAGACCTGAAAGTTACTTATGAACATCATATTGCCTTGACATTTTTTACACAGTACTCAAATGTTACAAATTTTATTTATAAGGGATAAACATGTTAAGTTAGGAATAATAGAAAATAAAAGAGATGTTTGTAAAAACAATAAAAAAGAAAACAAACAAACAGCAACAACAAAAAGAAAAGCTGATAGAAGCCAAAAAAGTCTTCTGGTGACCCAATTCCTGCATAAGAAATAGAATACTGACTGATATTTTGTGAAAAAAAAACCGTTTTCATTCTAATAAGGTCCAGTCATTTTTCCATGTTGCAGGTCTTGTGGTACCTTTAAATATGTAGGTTTAAGAAAAGACTGAATGAGTGCTTAAGAATATGCAAAATAGCACTGTTTTGACATTGAAACCATTTTCCATGACAGACTTTATTCTTGATCTTAATGACTTTTTTTTTTTTTTTTTT